AATTTCAATAAAATCAAATCCAACATAAATAGACATTTGCTGCCAATCAACAACGCATAAGAACTATCATTTAGTTTTAATATTTGCAATAACTGTGTTTTTATTACCCAGAAATGCCAAATAAAATATGTTTTCAATACTGATTACAAAACACTCCTAGTGTATCTTAGCATCTGCATTAAAAATAAATCTAAGTTATGATGAAATTTTGTAGTAACAGATTCCATTTTCAGCCTCTTTATATATAATTCACAACACTGGAGAAATCTTATCAAGCAAATTAACATTCCATCCAATACATACTAACTGTTGCTACAAAAAATTAATAAATAAATATGTAATACTGATATCAAAACTGTTAAAAATCGAACTTATATTCCTCCTGAAAAGCATAAAAATAAACCTAAACGGGCAACAGTTAAAGATATAAAGAAAAGCAAATTCTATAGAGGAGATTTAGAAAATCCAGATTATGTTGTACGATTAATTGTCATTTGAGTGCAACCAAAGCATATCACAATCCACTGCTTTTCTCATATCATTTCTCAAACTAAGAAATAGTCAGAGGAAAAAAAAAAAAAAAAAAAAAAAAAAGAAAAGAAAATTACGTAAAATATCAATTATAAAGGTTTAGTTTTATGAGTTGGCAAACATTAAATATTTTTATTTAAGAAGAAAAGAAAAATGTTTAAGTGATTTAAAATATGTTTTATACATTTTTATTTAAAAAATTTTCAATGGCAATTTTTTTTGCAATATAAAATTTTCATATTGCAGTTTTTCTAACATTTCTCATTTTATATACGTAGTGTGAGAAAAGTGAATATATTTAAGCCTAATTAGTAAAAAAACAAAGAAATTCAATATAAAAATTGGATTTTTTTTTTTTTTTTTTAAATCAGCAACTTCAGTTGTAATCAGCTTCAACACTCTTCCCTTCTCGCTCTTGTTAGAGCATAGTCTAAGATTCTCAAATGTTGCTGTTATGGTGATAACTATAGTAGAAGTATGCTGTGGTTTCTCTTCATCATTCGAACTATAGTAGAAGTATATTGCTTGGCTGAAAGAAGCACAATGAGGTTTAGAAGAGGTTTTCACATGCCTGCAATAAAATTTGAGTCATTACGGGAAACACAGAAAGCCCTGTGCAAAGTCCCATCTCTCTTCTTTTGAACAGGCACTACAACTTTCATATCAAGTAATACCCTTTACACCATGTTTACCATAGTAACACAATGCTTTAATGATGTTGAAATAAGGTCCAATGAAACTGCAGTCAGTTATTTAAAAAAACTGCTTATTTATATAAATTATTACAATATTATATCCCTTTTTTCTTCTATTAGACTGCAAAGTTAATTTCCTCACATATATATATATGCAAGATAAAAAATATAAAGCAGGTTGTGCTGTCATTACATTTTTGGCAAAGCTGATTTTCAAACTGACAGGCATGTCTCAAGTGTGTGGAACTCTCAGTGCAGAGTTTATTCAACTAATCTAATGGCTAAAATAAAAAGAAACTGTCGATCACTACCTGAATTTCGAATCAGGCCAAGATCACTATAACATGGAACTATGGTGCGTGAAAATTTATTTTTAACAGCATGTTTAACAATTTATTTTTAACAATGTGTTTTTCAACAAGTATGAAAGTGATTTAACAACATCTGCAAAAGTGCTCATCTTATTTGGAAAGTGAAATATTAGTAAAATCGGTATCGAAATGTGATTAATTTCTTCGGTATCAAATTAAAATGTATAAGTATTTTAAGATTTTATTCAGGGAAGATTATTAAATTTTATTGTTATTAGTAAGTTTTGTCAAAATTTCTGAATTAATGTTAAAAATTTTAGCATTATTTTATAAATAAGATTATTGTTTTAAAATTTGAATTTTAAGAACTTTCTAATTTTGAGAATGATGTCTATATGAAATATACATGAAATAATTATTAAATGGGAGAATATTAAATACAGTTAAAAATTAACATAGAAATACCAAAGATTTAAGAAATTGGATAATCGTAATAAAAATTCTATGAGAATTTAATTAAGAATAAAATGTATTAAAATTTGTTTGGAATTAGGGTGTTTGAATGTTGTAATTATCAATAATTGTATGTTAAATATAAAGTATGTTGAGGGAGTACTGGTTCAGAAACAGAGGCCTGTTTTATCTCTGCATAATTATTCCTTTTATCCTCCTCATGAAAGAAAGTATAAACGTTGAATGCTTCCATTTTATTTAATTTTTTATACAGGATTTTTATTTGCCAAAGTAACCCTTAACCACTCATGAAAATTTAGTATATGAGTTTGTTACAAAGTGGTTAGGCCCAAATAACTGGATTAAAAATCATAATTTCAATAATGATATTACAAATGATAAAATATTATTTAGAAATGTGAAAAATCAGTATGGTGTAAAATTTTAAGATTTATGATTATACGTAATAATTAATGGGTATATAAAATTTTTATAATTGTGATATTGTGGGCAAAAATTTTTGAAAACCCTTCCCTGAAGTATCAAAATTCTGATGTGAATGTCTCAGAAACAAGAACTTTTTACAGACTTGACTCAAATTTTAATAGGAAATTTTAATAGGAAAAAACGTGCAATTGTTTTGAAAGAATATAGTGCTTAAAATTATTACTGAATTCAAAATTTCATGACTAATTACTTTTTAATTGTTTAAAAGTTAATTTTATGTTTTGTATTTTCAAAATTATACATCTCATATTTTGCTGCTCTAATGCTTTTTCTCTCAAAAAGGATATTCTATCGCTCCGCCTTTTTCTCTTTGAAAGGAGGGATGTGTAAGATAAAAAATATGAAAGCAAACTTCTAAATTTAATTGGCTATAACCTCTTTTATTTTTTTATTTAATTTGGGGACTTCCTCTCTATCTTAAAAACAGAATAATAAAAGTCTAAACTGCATCATTCAAATTAATCATGCGATCCTATGTAACGCTTAACGCAGATAGTACCTCTTGCCCAATTAAATAATTGTAACCCAAAACTTTCTAACTCAACTAAAACTTTTCGACTCCCTTCCTCTGAAGTACTGCGACATTCTTCTTTCTCGCTTATGCTTTCATCCTGGCATGACGCTTAAGACAATGTAGTACTTTAAAACCTGTGTACATGGAAATTATTGCATTCAACTATGATTGAAAAATATCTTATCTACAGAAAGATGATATGATGTGATATCCTGCAATAAAATTATGTTTTGAAATGGCCATATCTGCAAGTTGTTAGTTTCTGCATTCATCCTTCCAACTACGCAATTAAAATTGTCTTCGGAGGCCAGAAATTAAAGTACCGGATTCCGTCATCTACTCATTAAAACATGACTACACTTCCATTTCAGTGTTCTTACATCAGTGCTTCCAAAATTGTGCTATCATTACATATATACACTTTTAATGCCTAAAATATAAAACTTAAGATTATTGCAGTACTATATGAAAAAATGCAGCACTATACCTTTAAATTAAAATATATAACATCTCAAACAAGAGTTTTATGATAAAAAATTTTAAGATGTTTAAAAAAAAATTATTTTGAAAATATAAAAAAAAAATTTAAGTGTAATTTGATCTTTTTTACTCGGACTCTAGTTTATCAACTAAAGCAGTTACAATGGGCCCACTAGTTTAAGAACTAATATCCAGCAACTTGAAAAAATAAAATCATATGTTTAAAAACAAACTGATCAAGATAGCAACACCAAATAAAAAAAAATCACTGGTGAAGGATTTCAGTTCTAGTCAGTTTCATCTGCAAAACAGAGGCTGAATTAGAGGAATTCACATGATGAAACAATGCAACAGTTGCCAAATGAGTGTAAAACTGGTATGTTCAGCCAAATTATCAGTGTTCCTAACACAATCTCCAGCACTTTTACTACTGAGTGACAACAGTCAGTTTCATGTTCTACAGTATGCAAGGTGACCTAAATGGTTGTTTTACTCATTGGTCACAGGATTAACTGAAGGTGTTTGGAAATGCTTTGAACATTCATCTTAATGATTAATTCAATATTTAAGGTATCAAAAAACTGCTCTCTCTTACTCAGTAGAAGGAGAGACATTTTAGGTTAAATAATCATTGCTGGTTTTAGAACTTAAACTTAGTCTTTACCTGGGAGATTTTTCTATCTAGAGCAGTGGTTCTCAACCTTGCACCCTTTTTACCACTGCTAGATGATCATTCCCCCTAACCATCTTTTTCAAAACTCGAAAAATATATACACACTTATTAAAAATTAATTTTAAAGTGCTTTATAAATTAAAGAAAAGATGATAAATATCAAAACTTAAATAAAAGTAGTTTTTATATTCATAAATAAAAACTAAATACTTAACAGGTAAATAAAAGGCTGACCAGATTCCCTTCCCTGAACCTGTGAAATCATACCCATAAACAAATTTTTATTGATGTAGTTTTCACAATTTTGCTCAAGATCACAAACACACAATCTTTATAACAAATATTTCCTGCAAGTATACTGAAGAAAATTTCCATTTTGCCAGGTCACAAAATTTGTGTAGTGGAAAACATTAACAGCTTTTCTTAGACACTTAAAAAAATTCAAGCTTATATTAAAAGTAAATTAATTACACTTAATATTTTCTTTCTGATAAGGGCAAAACACTCTCTATCAAGAAATTTTCAGCTTTTTTAGAAATATGTTAACTGATTGTTAAGAGAGAAAAGATCTTAAATTTGACAGATATCACTGTAATCGTTCCCAAATGAAAGATTTAAACAATGAAGCAATATTTTAAAATCGAATTTCAAATGTCTGGTGTAATTTTTCAGATAATACATATGATACTTAAACATGAGATGCATTAGTTCAAGAAAGTTATTCTCCAAGCCAACACACACATTAAAAATATACAGTATATATGAATACGACACAAAAGGAAAATTCTTTTAAAAAGAATTATTGTCCTTTTTTTTGCATATTAATGTCTCTTTTATAAAAAAACAAGGATTTCTTTTTATTAATAATACTAGAACATTTCATTACACATCACATGCATACTGAGTTAAAATGAAAATATAGATTGCATTCACCTAAAATATAAATAAATTTGAATTTGTTTTAACATATTCAATTTCATAGAAAAATAAACTTTCCTTACCTTTTAACAAATTAACCATGGAATTAAATTTTAAATACAAGAAATGCTAACAGATAGAATGATGCGAGATTAGAAAACAATAAGATGATGAAATATGCTTTACAAGGCAAACGGTTGAAAATTATAAAAATGACTGTATTACAGGTTGTGATGATTTATACGTTAGAGGTTGCAAATGTCCACATGAAGGGGAAACATTGCAGTACATAGTACACTGAGGGCCTCTGATTTCCATGCGATGAAGATTTTTTGATCGTGATCTCAAGTCCTCCAGTGCATGTGGGAATTCAACAGGCTTCTGGACACCTTCATAATCAGGTTCTTCAGGGAATAAATCATCACCTAAAAGTTTTAAATTATGTAAAACTTATTTTTTTAAAAATTTAAACATGAATAAAAAGGATACTGAACATTTCAACTTGTAGATCATTAATTATTTGAACTTCTACAGACAAACTGAGAAGTCATGCACATCATGTGAACATCTTATAAATTTAATTGTGCTTGTAAGAATTGTATCACATATTACTAGATGGAACTTTATCTCCCCCCTATGAATGGTGGGGCAGCCGATCTACTGGTGCAGTTAGCATATCAGCCAGGTGGTCTCACTGACAGAACTGACTTAAATACTACAAAATTTCCTGGATTGCAGGCTTCCCAGTGTTATGTTTGGCAAAGACATACGGAAACTAATGCATTTCAGTTCTTTTCAAAAGTCAATATCTGGTGGGTACAAGATGAGTGATTGGTTCAGAGATGGAACAAGGGTGCAATGCAGGTGAAGAGAACAATTTCAGTTTCCACATGTACACAGCTACACATCAACATACACAACTTAAATACTGTTAATGGGCTTCCAAAATTTGAACAATTAATGACTTCTGCAGTAGAGAATTACAATACAGTCCTACAAATACACTGCTTGACATTGAAAATGCAACACCAAAAAGGAGTGGTCAGAAGTTTATGCAAGTTTTAGAGTAGATGAGCGTCACTAAGTTATGCGAATGATGTGAAATGCCCAGCTCTCCGATGCACGTGAAGTAAGATAATAAGGGAAGGAACGTGCAGAATGGGCAATATTCGTGTCATTATTTCTGCCAGATGAATTATCGAAGAAAGCTGGTTTTTGTCCGGGAGGAAACGTGTAATACGAGAGAATGCCAGGTCACTGTTAACAAAGGACTTCCAGCAGATAGATGATTTTACGAGGGGTATGGTGATCGGACTGAGAAGAGCGGGTTGGTCCTTACATCAAATCACAGCCGATACTCACATGGATGTGAGCACAGTGCATCGGCTATGGCAAACATGGTTGGAACAAGGAAATGTGGGAAGAAGGAAGGGTGCAGGTGCAGCCAGAGTGATGTCAGCGAACGCATCCGCTAACAAGCTGTGGCGGTCCCGCAAGTTACTTGTACAGCGATTCTACAGCATGTGCAAGATATCCTGGATGTTTCTGTGTCGACCAGAACCATTTCCTGTCGATTAGTTGAACGTGCCCTGCACTCATGGCATCCGTTAAGAAGACTGCCATTTACCCCACAGCATAGACGCCAAACTTTAGAATGGTGCCGGACTGGAGTGACGTGGATGACAGAATGGCGAAACGTCGTGTTTTCAGATGAGTCACGCTTCTGTTTATCCAGTGACAGTCGCCGCGTACGTGTGTGGCGTCGCCGTGGAGAATGCTATTTATATGTTAGGCATCATATATTTATTAATCTGGGATAGGGCTCTGGCCCAGGAATTTGTGCCTCATGGCCACCTAACAGAAGTAGGTTTGGTTTCGCTTAACTTATGTAATTACAAGAGAGCCAGAGGGCTATCTGCCTAAGGGAAGGGATACCTTTGTGGAGGACCTTTTTAAGGAAAACTGGCTCGTATACATGTTACACATGGGTAAAACCATGAAAATACCCATGCAGCCACAGCTAGTCCATTCGCAGGATTTGAAATTTGGACCAAACTACCAGTGCTCAGCAACTTTACTGCTTGGCTGCTGCTGGGCCTGACAGAAATATAGTGACCATTTTACTTAATATATAACCAGCCTCTTCCAGTGAAAAGTGAATTTTTAGGCTAGACCTTTATAAATGCATTGCTAGAAAATGAGAAGAATGTTCCAAATCTGAATGCTGGAGTAAAATTCACTATTATTCTTGAATTATGCTTTTAAAGGAAATATTGGCAGTGGAGTGTTAGATTAGCAACTTTATTTTATTTTGTTATTAAAAAATAATAAAAAAAGGAGAATTTTCAAGATTATGGTAACTGACAAGAGATGCTTAAAAATCATTGTCATCAGGCAGTTCATTTTACCATTCTTAAGATAAAAATAAGCAACTCTATTAAAATGTGGAACTGTTGGAATCAGGCATATTCATTTTTACCTACCAACTTTAGCCTTTATGATAAAACTTCAAAAGTTAATACTGACAGAGCTGAATTATTGCATAATTTTTATTAAGGAAAGAAAAATTATTGTATATACTATATATACTGAAGTTTATGTATTAAGTATATGTATTATACTAACACAGTTTATGTATTATACTAACACACTTCATTCTATGTTATTCGTAACCTCTCTAATAGGGCGATGTTTCGTTCCGCTAGTTTTAAACTAAGAATAAGCAATTCATCTCCTGTTTGTGGGATTAAAAATCTTGCAATACGTGGTTCTGCGACATCATTCTTATTGACCATGTTTCTCGCTTAAAATGTTACTTAGAATGGTTTAAGTTTAGAGAAATAAATTGTTGTATAATGTCGTATAATGATAATTTAGAAGAAAAATTTTATATTATTCAGTATTGTCTTTATATTATTGTATAAGTCTTTATATTATTCAGTATTGTCTTTATATTACTGTATAAGTCTTTATATTATTCACTATTGAAGCAAAACCTAAATTTTCACTCTTCGTGTTTAGAAAAAGCTGATGACATCCAACTAGCTTGTCCAATTCCAGCTAGACTTTCTTCTAAAACCCACCTGCTAAACAACTTGGGTCGGGTTATGCATACGCATTTTGAGTATTATTTACCAAATTTCGATGGTGCTAAAAACATATCTATAATTGTTAATTAAAGTAATATTTTTATATATATAGTTTTGCAAGTCGTGATGAGTATTTTCAATATAATCAGTTATATGAATTTTTTTCATGTAAAATGTAATTTTTTTTCAATATGTATATTTTCACAGTGTACTTTTTTAATTGTTTTTAATAACCAAATAAAATATATTTGCTAACTAACCCTTCACTGCTAATGTTTCTATAAAAATTATAATTCAAGAATAACAATTTTTATTGCATTATTCAGATTTTTCATGACTGGGAAAGGAAATTTCAGTAGTGGGAGGGGAAACGATTTTATAAGGGAAGGAATGTAGCATGATGTGTTGAATAAAATAGTAATGAAATGCAAAAATATTAAAAATTTGAAAGCATTAAGAAGAACGAGATCGGAAAATTAATATAAGTAAACAGGAAAATTATTAATGATGTGAAGTGTTCAAAGAAACCCAGTTGACTAAATGAAGAAGCTTTATGTAATATTTTTGCAGATCCCATATTAAAATGTAACTAAGTGATCATCCTAAAAAAAATTCTAAAAATAGCTAAAACAATTCTTTTTTCCTTTTTGAAAATTACTTCATATTCCTTGATGAGAAATTTCAAAGCTTTTTCAATTTGGCCTATATACACCAAACAGCACGATATATATCAAATTATGCTAAATTACATAAGAATTGAAAGCACATATGGGATCTTTAAGAATCGAAAAATGAATTTTACTGATAGGTGAAAAAAATGACTTAAATATTGACCTTATGGAGAAGTCGAGAAATTTGTAATTGATAGTAAGTTTAAATAATTATTGGGTACATGTCAGCTAAACGTTGCTGTTGGCTTAATGTCTTGACAGTTAAATGTTCCGTAGCCAAATATCCTGACGGCTAACTCTCTGTGTCGGCTAAATGTCCTTGTCAGCTAACTGTCTGTGTCCTGTCAGGTAAACGTCCATTGTTGGCTAACTGGTGTTGGTTAACTATCTCATCTGCTAAGTGTAACAGACCCGATAAAAAATATGTAAATCAAAATAAATTAATACAAATAAAAAAATGCAAGCATACTTGAAGGGTAAAAGTGACGCTTGGTCACAAGTGATGATTGGCAGTGTGTTCTGTATGATTCATATTTTATTCGCAATTGTTGATATTTTTAAACTTCAGTGGCCAACTGCTAATAAATCCAAATTTGCTCAAACCAACACCTTAATTAGGGGATGTTGTAATGATTGTTTAATTCCTGGCATATGTTTATACATGTTTTACTTCTTATTCAGAAAAATAATGAGATTACGATTTGTTTTGCTACTGTTTTCTTTAGGAAATCCTAAATATTTATTCTCAAGATAAAGGTCTTTATCAAAATGAATGAAAAATATTATACTTCATCATTAAATATTGTTGCACATAGGTACATGTTTAACATGATATGATTTAGTGATGATATGGGTATAACATTGGTCAACTTCATTCAAGTTATCCAAATATGATAATAATTACAATACAAAGTCTTTAATCCAGACGACCATAATCTGGAATGATCTATAATCCGGACCTCAAAGCTCGAAACTTTCTGCGCATAATACCTTTACGCATGTGCATAATGTGTTTATGCATGCGCGTTTAATGTATAACAGACAATATAAGCTAGACTAAAATGATCTATTTCAATTAATGTTGCAGATTGTGTTGTTCCTTAATCTTTTAATTGGATCTGGCTGGATTAATTTTGCAGACTGTTAGAGCAATTTTATAAAAAGTAAGCTTGAACTTTCAATTATGTCAAAAAGAGTTTCCGATTATGGAGCTGCCAAAGGATCTACAAAGCGAAAGTATGTTGCGATGTCCATCAAACAAAAAGTGGAGTTGCTGCAAAAAATGGATAAAGGCATGAAGAAAGTGACTAAGAGGTTAGTGAAAACGAAAAAATTTCGATTGACGAGTTAGTTGGTATTCTCGGCACAGCAATTACAGGACTTGAACAGCGGAACTTTGTAACTGAACAAGAAATTATCTATGTTTATAGAATTAAGAGAAAGTATTATCACATAAAACGAAGCAACTTACATTGAAAGAAATGTTTAATAAAGTAAACAAATAAATATTAAGCTTTTTTTTTTTTTTTTTTTTTTTTTTTTTTTTTTGTAATTTTGATACCTTTGGATCATATTGCTCTTTATTTTCATAAATTATGGTTTCATATTTTTAATTTTATAATTTCTGCATGCCATCTTACCAGATTTAAACTGATGATCTATAATCCGGAATCGCCGAAGTCCCGATGAGTCCGGATTAAAGACTTTGTACTGTATTAGTAATACAACAGATGCTTTTGCAGGAGGATTCTGATCTTCGAACTTACCATATATCACCTTTCCATACACTCCATTTAGGTACCCCCAATAGTTATTCAGCATACCAATAATTAGTGGAAACTGTCTACTCTAACATAGCATATCACACAGATTGTTTGAATTACAACTGCACTATTTTCAACAACAGCCATAAAAGCTATGAGAAAAAGACCAACAAAGGGCATTCTCATTGATAGTATAAATATCAGGTTTGTTTAATTTTTAAAAAATAGTAGTATTGAATTACTCTTCCTGATTCCTGCATATGCATTAAAGGTTACTGCAGCAGTACAACAATATTAACATTGCATTAATAATGATATGGACATTACCAAAACTACTAATAAATTCAAGTATTTTTCCCCAATGGCTGGCAAACACTTGCCTTTTCAACATTGGCCATTCCCAAGGCTGGACATGGTAGCCATTTTATTGTGGAGGCACCTAATAGGTGGCTACCATTGCCTCCTATGAAAGGATGGGCATGTAGCATCTTCTATGTTTCCTCTTCATCTTACCTTTAACTTGTATATTTTAATTTTTTTAAGATGGTAGCAAAGAAAAACTGTTCAAAAAATAAACATTCATTGGAATTTCATTTCCAAAATGCTACTTATCATTTGTCTCAATCAATATGTTCTCTCGTTAATAAAATTATTTAAAGAAGTTTGTTCTTTATAGCATATTAATAATACTTAAGATTTTATTCAACGAACTTCAGACAGTTACAATCATGCCTTCTCTGGGATATGAACTTGGGCTCTTTGTTATTGCAGTCGGCTCCCCTAAACACTATACCATCTGGGAGGCACACATAAAGTATAGGAAGAATATTTTAAAATCCAATTTTTAATCTAATAGAGTATTATCTAAATTAATTTTCAGAATAAAATTCTCAGAAACAAAATATAAGGAGACTGCTCTTATTTACAATTTATATCATGTACCTAACATAACAGACATGCACTATTATAGCTGCATTAAAAAAATATATTTTAGTTTAGTATTAGCCTTACTCACATAGAGAATATCCAGTTAGACTTTAGCTGGTATTTTTGATGAAAAACATACTAGAGAGAAAATCAGTCTCCAATTACTCTTTTGATATTACCAATCTCTTGAAAGAACATCTGATGGATAGACTTTAAGAGCTTCCATTCCACAAAGATACTACTGCTTAGACATGATCATAACTTGAATCTAAGCCTATTATTTGTTAGTCCAGTCATACAACATTAACAAAATCACATACATGTACTGGAAACCTGCCTGAAAAGTAGACAATTCAAATGAACATTGATAACTACTGCTATATATATTATTTAACAGAAAGAAGATGATAAGCAAAAATCTTCAATTCTAAAGAACAACTCTGCCCTGAGCTAAGGAAATCCCTTATCTTGTGGCGATCCTCGCTAATTCTCTCACATGGACCACACATAACATCTATGATTCAGAAGTTTCCAGCATGTAAACTACACTCTACCCCTTACTTGCTCAAAACAGTGTTCTGTCTAGTGACTACAAGTTACTCATTTAGAAATTAAATTCACATTGCATGCTTTGTTATGCTTACTAATGTAGAACTAACAGAAAGTAGTTAGAAACTGGCCAGAAAACTGTACAGAGGCAAATAGTTAATTCCTTTGATACATTAGAAACAATATAATTAATTCACAAGAAACTTAAAATTGTCCAATTAAGGACCCATTATTACCACCTAGCCAAGAGATTTCATGAGAATCTGGGGCAAACAAATAATTCAGCAATTAAAATCTATGACTTCCATGACCATTATAACATCAAATTGCCAATGACCATTTTTAATCTACAATTAATCATATAAAAATAACATACTTGTGTTGTACTTGGTTATTTGTGTATGCCTTCCAATTTTTGTTTATGTATCTTGTGTACTTTCTGTATCTCTATGGCATCACTGAACTCGCACTTTCCTGTGAAGAACTAATCACCAGCTTGTCAGTTTTCTGCTTGTAATTTACTAAAATGGCCCCTATTGTTTTCTTCTTTGTATTAATAAGATACTTAAAAAGTTTCATAACTTTTAATATTTATTAAATTAGTGATAAGGGAATAAGCTCATGCACCCAGGTGTCTAAAACCATCTAAAATCATGGGACCAAGCCCACCAGCAGCCAAGTGGTAAAGTCGCTGACACCGATAGTTTGTTCCAGAGTTGAATCTTGGCAAATGGGTGGCTGCATGGCCCTTTTCATGTTTTCCCCCCATGTGTAATATGTATATGAGTCAGTGTCTCTTAGAAAGTCCTCCACAAAAGCATCACTCCCCTTAAACAGATAGCCCTCAAGTGCTTTGCCATAATCAAACCAAACCCATTAATGTGTTAGTTAAGTGGCACATATTTTTAATTATTTATTAACAATATTTATTATTCCAAAAGAAAGTTTGGAACAAATTATGATACACTGGGAGAATATTAAACAGAAGAAAAAACAAAGAATTAAAAAATGTTCTGACACTGTATGATAACAAATATCACCCATGTGTATCATAAATTTTTTTAAAAAAATGAAAATAATTGGGAAAGCATTCAGTTCAACTAGAAAAGCAGTAACTAATATTTATAATTTCAATCAAGGTAGATTTAATAACTGACAACTGAAAAAGAAAATAATGATCAGAACAAAATCAGTTTATCCTGATAACTGCTTAATGTTTTATGTCAAGTAAACATGCCAAATTACAGAAGCTTCACTAAACTGTTAAAGTCACAAATAGCAAAAAATTTGAAATCTATTTCCAATAGTAGCACATACAAGGTATTTTTAAAATGCAACTACAAACATTTTTTTTTAATTATTAAGTTTCCTAAAGTAGTGCAGAATTTTACAGAAAAGCAATCTCAAGGAAATAAAATGTGAAACATCTATTCTTTTGAGAGAATTCCCATATTATCACAAAATATGTGATTTATTCTAAATATACCATTATTGAGAAATACAAGATTAAAATTTGTGTATTTAAACTACCTGGAAGAAGTGATACGGCACCATCTATAGCTGTAGCTATGATCGGCATCCATCTTTCACAACCGTTTGGCTCTCGTTTCTTAGCAAATTGCTTTAATTCATGATATGACTGAAGAGGTATTAATCTTGATAATTCATAGACTTGTGGAGGGGCAAGAAATACAGTATGAGTAGAATTATCTTCCAACATTTCTTCTGGAGTGCACCACTATAATGAATAGAAAGATATCATTAACTGTTACATATTGCATAACCAAAAGATAAAAGTTACAGAGAATAAAATTATACTGCAGTACATTTGAAACAAATCTTATTACATACATTCAGCTGCAATAAAATATTAATTATGATATGATTAGAAACATGAAATATAAATTTTATAATACTGGACACATTATGTAAATACTAATATGAAGTGTAAATTCAGAATAAATATATTTTGCAAAAGAAACACATTGTAAACAGCTAGTGTCTGCAAATCATGCACCAGGACTGAGTATAAAGTTGTACATAAAAGTGGATAAAGATAATTCTTATAGTATCAAATAGAAGCATGTGGTCCCCTCTAGCATGTAGGAGGCTTAACTCAATGCTTTGTACCACAAAAGTGTCACATGCCAATATACATTCTTTCGTTTTTCCTCCAAGTATATTTAGACTTCAGAAATGGACATTACAACTCATATGTATTGAAGAAAAGCTGTTCCAGCTGGTCTCATAGATGCTTTATTAGCAAGATCTCATGACTTCACAGGCCAAGGTACGACATCAATATCTTGTACAACCTCATGAACAATGACTATGCTAATTGAGCACTGCTGGGCAGCAAAATGTCATTTGGCATGCATTGAAGATACTGTAAAAACGAACTGGACATATCAGTAAGTTTTCAATGAACTGGGCACAAGCAAAACTGATAAGTTCAACTCTTACACTGTCCCATAACATTAGATAGCTACTTCGACATCTGAAATATTACTTCCTTATTGCACATCTTTGCAACCTAGAGTGGAATGTGAGACAAGGCAATGCTCAAATGCTCATGCTGTCTACACACAACAAATGACACTGAGTCTGAATAGGTCCAATAATAATCTCCAAAGCAATGATGATCACTTGACCCTTACCAACACAGCATGTGACCTTTATTTGTTCTTGTGGTAATATGTAATGTTATGATGCTCAGTCCATTTAATAGGATGGACTGCATGAATGCACTAGTTGAGCATGTTTTGTATAAGACTTCATTCAAATAGAACCAAATGCCGAGGTTATACATGTTGCTAACAGCTTGGCATCTTTTGTGATAACAAAGTTTGCCCTGACTGCCTGTAAAGTCATATTTACTCTTGTATAACACATATGGCCTTCTATATCATGTGCTCCTGTGATGTAATACTGTCTTATGATCACTTACACACCTGCTTGAGCATCACTTACAAGCAATATATACTATTCTGTTTCTGTGACATTGAATATTTTTGGTTGTTTCAGTTTTTCTGATCAGTATGTATATCTTATAAAAATATATATCTGGATTTAAAACAATAACTGTTACATTGGTATTTCACTTAAATATATGAACACTTTATTAAATGAAAAACAACTTAAAACCGACAAAGAAATTTACACATTTTAATATGAAAAATAGGATAAATATCTTTTCTTCATCTAATTAATTTCAACTATTTACACAGTTTCAAATATTAAAGATGATAATTATGTCACTGAATTTGTTGTTGGCAATTTTTATAGCATAAATGTACATGCATATTTCATCTTGAAGAAATGCATATGTTTATCACAAAAATTAGCAAAAATGCTGCTGAGTTATTTTAAGATTAATTATTTTACAGAAAAAGATGAAAATATTACAAGTGATGTTTCTTTTTTTCCCCTCTTACCCCCAGCAAAAGATGTTAACAATTACATATATTTTAAAAACATAATTTATGAATTTATGTATAAAAAGCTGGTTATTTAAATATAACTGTGCAATTTATTAAATGAAAAAATTATACTTGAATAATCTAAACAAAGCACAAAGAAAATAAACAAAACAGCTTTTAAAGCTATGCTTATTATAAATGTAAAAATTAACATCTTAAATGTTAAGGCATTAAAAAGTTTGGTACTTTCTGATTATCTCCATTCTCATGAGAGTCGCATATGAGTTGCCAAAGAAACATTCATCTGAATATTTTTATAACTTACAGGTACTATTCTATTCACAGATAACAATAAAAAGGAAGCATTTTATAAGAAACAAACTTTATGAGAGGGGAAAACAAAAATCTACTTGTATATAATCAATAATTATATTTTTATACTGTTGGATACAATTCAACTATGTCCTTCACATGCATTTCTTCTGCTTAAATAATTCTGAAGAGTTTCTTTCCATTTTCCATTTAGCTGTCTTCCTTATAAAAACAACTGTACTTGTAATTATTCATACATACTAAGTTCTTTCATAGAAATTTTCTAAACTAAACTCAGAGGCATAATAGCGCTAATGGGCCAAGGCCTGCAGTGCCCGAAATCTGCTTTCTTGAACGTGGGCCCCAGGGTGCATAAGCATGTGCTCTGAATAAGTGGTCAGCTTGTCGCAGGACACCCAGTGTTTAATGCCCAAGCGAACTTGGTACTCATTTTATTGACACATGTGATTGAAATCAAGGAATGAAAGGCTGAGTCAACCTTTCCCAGGCCGGGACTCGAACCCCGGACCTGTATTGCTACTGCACAATACGCTAGCCACTGCACCACCGGGCCTCCATGGAAATTGTCACCTACTTAAAAAGTTAAGTTACCAAACAAGCATTTTAAAATATTTCTCTCCACAAAACACACATTTTTCTTGCGAGTGTGTGTGTGTGTGGGGGGGGGAAATGAACTTCTTTGAAACAATCGTTCTTTTGCTCATTGAGCCTTCAATCATATAAATCCATGTAAATTTAAGCATGGGTGTGGTATACTAGTATGTGGATTGGCTACAGGTAAATGCAGACCTGAAAATGTGACAAAAACATGACAATTCTAATTCAGTTATCACATCTAATAATGCAAAGAAGCAATGAAAAACATTTTTAAGAAATTAAGTTTTCCTTCTCCAACCACTGCAGTATTCCTAGCAAAAACAGTTTTGCTTGAACCAATGTCTTGGCTAGCTACACAGGATATTCTACATTATAGATGAAAATGTTTCACTTGAAGATTTGTCCTTTGTAGGTTTCCTCCAAAGAGCTGGATTTCCAGTAAATCAACCAATAAAATAAAAAGCTAAAATTCTGGAAATGCTCCTTTCAGTGTGCTTCAGTATCAGAGAGTATTAAAAAATTGAATACTTTAGAATTATATTAATGGGACAGGAACTCAGTCCCAATTTTTAAAGAAAATACTCTGAGAGAAAGATCTGAAGGTCTAGCCACAAATACCGTATTTGACGGCATATAAGACACACTTTTTTTCCTAAATTTGGTCTCAAAAAAAGTTACCTGTGTCTTATATGTGAAGGACACAGGTTAACTTTCAATACTGAATGCTATTTTTAGCCCGGATAAAGGTCTAGACACACATAACTTTTTCTACATCTACATGTGTGTGGCCTTCTAAATAAGAGTGCGTCTTATATGCCGTCAAATACGGTACCTCAAGAGTTATTATTAAGTATTTTAAGTACTCGCATGTTTATACACTTACAAAAATGCATACCTTCTCTGCAATTTGAAGTTGAGCTTAAGGCACATTATAATACCAGCATGCCACAAGGCAGCTTTAGTTTACGACATACATTTTATTTCAAGAACATACGCACATTCTGCTTTGAGAATTACAAGTACAAAATAGCTACTTAAATCACAAAATATTAAAGAAGGTTTATCTAATTAAAAACACAAATATGTATTTTCAAATTTTAAATTTCTCAAAGAAATTTAACAAAATAAATAAATAAATAAAATAAAAAAGTCCTTCAATTACAACTATAAACTTCCTCTGTATCACTAATTCCTTTTAAATTCATAAGCATATGCTAAACTTTGTAAAACTTGATTGCAGATTGTAAAGGTAAAAATTTAAGTATAAATATGTAAAAATTTCTACCTTTCTAATAATAAATTAACAACAGCCCTTTAACTCCTCTTCATTCTAAAAATAACAAAGCATTAACATAATCATTTACTCCCTCTAATTTAGAAAAAGATCTGCCATCTAATCTCTGTTGTGCACTTATCCATGAAATCTTAACTCAGTAACCAACTATTAATTTGCTATGTATCTGAAATTTAATTCACTTAATGTAAACATTCTTGTGATCCAAAATGTGATCAGTATAAAAAGTCTTTGCTGTGCAATCTCTCTCTTTTTTGGATTGTTCCTTCTCTTTGCTCACTCTTCTTTGTTCGCTGCTTTTTTTCTTCCCTGCTTTGCTGTGCTGCCAGCCACTATTTACTTTCTGCTTCGCCCATTGTCTAAGAAAATATAAGCTGTACAAAATTGCGGTGTGCATGTCGCACCCACAAATGAAGCTTATGAATTTGTTTATGCCCACAAAGGCATGCACTATTATGAAAATAAAATTGTGTCTTCAAATTAGCAGTCTCGTTTGAAAGCTTTTTCTTTCCTATTCTCTCATCTTAAGTATTCACACAACTTTTTTCGAATCCTCAAGCCATTTATCTAAATCATTACATCTTATTTAGCCAGTAGGATACTATTAGAAATGTCAGAGGATAAACTTTGTGCATTACACATAAATAACACACGGCGAATAACAGTTTCAAGTTCTGTGTAATTTCTGGAATTTCGGCCAAGATCATCGATTTACTTAGCGAAGCCTTTCCATCACCACTTTAATAATGCCTAAATTGTGTTCCTTGCCTAAATTGTGCAATTTGTAGATGTTTTTTTAAGTTTAAACAGGATGATGTGTACATGGTATTCTTTGAAATTTATTGTTGTTATGTTAATTTATTAAAGCGACGTGTGCGCAGTTCGTAGATTCGTTCCTTGCCTAAATTGTGCAATTCGTAGATGTTTAAGTTTAAACAGGATGCTGTGTACATGGTATTCTTTGAAATTTATTGTTGTTATGTTAATTTATTAAAGCGAGGTGTGTGTAGTTCGTAGATTCGTTCCTTGTCTAAATTGTGCAATTCGTAGATGTTTTTTAAGTTTAAACAGGATGCTGTGTATATGGTATTCTTTGAAATTTATTGTTGTTATGTTAATTTATTGAAGCGAAGTGTGCGTAGTTCGTAGATTCGTTTGTTGCCTACATTGTGCCATTCATAGATGTTTTTTTAAGTTAAAACATGTTGCTGTGAACATGGATTCTTGTTAAATATTTTTGGTTAGAAACTTTATGTTTTTGCTATCTAAATTTTTTGTTTTTGTTTCAGATTTTTAGCTTAAATCGTGTGTTCAAAACGTAGTTTTTGCATGTGCGAAAATCGCGTTTTTGGAGACATTTTAGGCTTAAAGTTCGAAATATAAACAAAAGATTTAGATAGTAATATGACAGCGTGAAGTTTCTCGCCAAAAATGTTTGGCGAGAAATTTGGTGACTTGAGGGTGCATATCAGAGTAGTTCCTTAGTTTGTTGTCCAGCAATAGAAACCATGTTTAATTTGACTATGTCCGTCTACAAGTCTCTCCTTTCTCATGCATAATTCAAACTATGCAGTGAAACACCTGCCCAAATTCTGTTACAGCTATTATCCAGCATGATAATTACAATTATTATTATTACACACACATATATATCTAAGATAAAAAAATATGTGAATCAAAATTATAATTTAAACTAATGGAAAAACATTAATTCTCCCTCTCTATTCTAAAAATTGCAATAACTTCTCTGGATTGCATCATTTCTAGATCATTCTATGGCCTGCGCAACTCTGATGACATAATAATTGGGGAGTGAAACTACTATTGTAAACCAAAACTTTTCTCTTCGTGTGCTTCCATCTTCCATAACTACACACTTCAGCTTCTTCAGCTGTGCTTGGACGCAATTTCACTACGCTGCTTCCTATTGCAATAATATCAATAATGTAAATTTTCTTGAACAGGGCACGTTTACGATGCCAAGTGATCTGTGGCCACATAATGTCAATTAGAAATAAAAATGGAATTAAAATCGTCCCGACTGCCAAGTTTTATTTACGAAGTCAAGACACTCAATCAGACGCTTATGACGCAATCAGAATACTTCTTCAATATAGGATAACTACGCATCAACAGTGCTCTGTCTTTTCCTAGCTTTTGTTATGACATATATATATATTTAAAAGCAATTTATACAGATGCTCTTTAATATTTATGATGAAACAAATTGTAATTCTTAAAAAATCCACGTATTATATAACATATTATCAAATGTCAGATATTTATAAACAAGAAGGTTAGGTTATTTGATTACGGCAAAGCTATAACGGCTATGTGCCTCAGAGGAATGATGCCATTATGAAGGACTTTCTGAGTAGGATTAGCTCATATTAACATTACACATGGGCCATGAAGCCAGCTCATTCACCTATGATCAAATCCATAGCAGGTCAAACTACCAATATTCAGTTGTCTAAAGCACTCATTCCTCGGTGGGGTTTAAATAACAGAAAATCAAGAGGAAAAGATCTAAAATATGCTGAACACAGTTACAACACACATTATCAATAATTTTTAAATATTACCAAATACTAAAATTTTATTACATTAAAATTTAATGCCTTGCTTAACTGAGCAATGCAAAGAACAAAAGAGTTATCTACCTCACAGGAAATGTACCTTTGTAAGAGCACATTCTACAGACAACTAGCACTCGCATTATACACTGACAAAATGATGAAGATATCCATACAGCCAGGTCAAACTATATTACTCTTTGATTACCCACACAACACTTACAAGAATAACCAGGCAAAAGCACTATGTCACCCAAGTAGGCAATCCAGAATTTTATGAAAATGTAATCATCTGGCAACTCACTAATGTTTGCACACACATTATGCCTATGCATGATATACAGTTTTTTTTTTTTTTTTTTTTTTTTAATTTGAAGGTCTTGTTGTCTTGTCATTTTCTTTTAACAAAATGTAATGCCACTGTGGAATTGTTCTGGTAATGATAAAGAGAAACTGTTGCATTTTTACAGAAATATGGCCTTTAGTCTGGTAGCCGAGAGGTAGGAATGCAAATTCCATGAATTGTGCAGTTCTCTCTCTCTCTTGATGTGCATATGGAAAAATTGCTGTATGTTACCAAGAATTATGCAATTCTCTGATGATTTCTTAAGAATGCTGAGCACATGCACAGATGCAAAGAAAAAAGAAAGATTAAGTGCTTTACTTTGTATATTTGCAGTGTTCTTAATTTAGTTAATTTATTGTTGCTTCATATAATTTTGAGTTCTTCATTATGGATGTTTGTTTTGTGTAATTTTTGGTGTTTCATTATGGATGTTTCTTGCAGTTTTTGTTTTGTTGCTGTTTTATGCAATTTTCAAAGTGTAATTTTTTTAAATGCCTACTCTTTCACACACATTAAGTCAGTGAAAAATTAGTCGCTAACACTTGATCACTTTGTGGGAAAGTTGGTTGGATAATCAGAGTAACCAAACTACTAGTATTCAGCACTCTCTTCCTTTTACCTGCTGGTGCAGAAAGTATTCCTTGACTATGTTGTAAGAAGTGAAATTCAATGCTTTTTCCACCACCCTTAGTTCTCACTTACTTAATGAAAAAAGTTAAAAAGAAACAAATTATCCAAGAGAAAAAACATATGTTTATTAATATGCCTATATAATAAGGATAGATAATCTATAGAATTTTTTTAATATGCCTGCTTATAAAGTACATTATTTTTAAATTTTTGATTATTCAGCATTTCTCCACCAATTCCTTTGGTACATTTATAGTATACTTTCTACATATGCATAATAGTTTTCTTAATTTTTTAAAAAACTGTGAAAATTATTCCTCTGTACCTTTAATTTAGACTATTAGCACAACCTTCATTCACTTATTGCACAGATAAATCATCAGTGATTTACAACATAATACTTATAAAATCTGTGTGAACATTACTAATTAATAAGTATGCAAATATCATTATTAAAAGCTAATGTTGTAACACAATGGTTGTTTCAAATATTTATTTGGATGAGTCACACACAAAATTAAGCAAAAATTAACATTAGATTAGCCAATGTCTTTTGGAAAAAAAAAGTTTTAGCTGAAAAGAAATATGGACATTTCTTCCAACAATCAAAATATTCTGACCTATTGGAATACTCCCCCCCCCTCCAATCTTGAAGGAAAAGACTGCACCAGTCTTTTTTGAATACTAATTTGAGGTTGACTTTTGCATAATTTTTTAAAAATAATTTACCTTTTTCATTTTTATTATCTTCATTTACAAATAAGATTTTATCAAAATTTAATAATTTCCTGAAGTAATCTGATAAGATTTAAAGCAAGAGTGATCCACATGCCATTCCAAAAATTTACAGCAGTCAATACTTAACATCTTAGTTAGTTCAAAACTTAGTAAAGACCTTGAAAAAATATCGGTCTATGATAGATTTAAATTTGTATCATGTACTGCATTCGTTTTGATTAGATAAATCTTTTTTCAAAGATGTGATTACATTACGTCTACTAGTGAAAGGTTAGCACACTTATGATTTATCTGAAATGATTATTGATGAAATCTTATCTGAAGGATTTATCTGAAATGCTCAATACAAAAAGTGGATTAAAACATACATAAATTAACCATTATGTTCTTTTATTTATTAAAGCTATTTTACTGCATTCATGTTCAAAATATTAAAACCGTATTGAATTTTTTTTTTTTTTTTTTTTTTTTCATTTTAAGAAGAATGCTGCCAATTTAATTACATCCACCTTCAACAATGGAAAAACATTTTAGTTTACGCTACATTTAAACATGCCAGTTTTTCTTCTAAGTTTGCTTTCCAGAGAAAGCAGACCAATGTTGTGTTGTTGCCAAAATACACTATTTTTTTAATTAAAAATTAAAAGCAATTAGTAGCATTCAGTCAATTACAAAAATGATTAAGCTCAACCTAAAACATGATTTATGTTAAAAGAAAAATATTTTTCATAATAAAAGAAATTGGTTCAATACATAGGATTCAAAACATAGTTATAAATACAATTTTTGTAAATACAATAGTTGTAAATACAATTTTAACTTCCACTTGAAATAAAATACAGTGTAAAGTAAATTTTGTTTTGAGATTAAAAAGTAACTTGAAAAATTCAGTGTTACATACCCTCATAACGGTAACTTCTCCCTTGTCTAACAACACATCAGGCTGACGAGGCAAACAGCATAAATAAAACATTGTATCATACCGTCGGTGGCCAACAGAAGTTGGTGTGAGCCAGTCAGACCACTCATACAAAGACCAGATGTCTGGACACATATGAGATTCTAAACATAAATCTATAAACATATGTGGATCCTTATGTATCTTCTCCTGCCACATCTGAATATTAATATTCTGAGTCAAGAGAGTATGTGTCATAGCTTCTTGTGTAGTTTCAAGAGCAGGATTGGTTAATAATAGAATGCCAGTCTCTTCGAATGTTTCTCTAAGAGCTGCAATACGCAAGGCAATATCTGGTGGGAGGTAGTCTTCATCTAAAGGAGCTCCCTTAGATTCTAATGTTAAAGGGTTTTTTATTATAGGTGGCCTTGGACCATGATAATGGGTACAAAATTCCATAAGTTCTCCTCTAGTTATTCCCAATTTTTCAAACACAATCCACCAAAGTGGAGAATAATCTGCAACTTCCACCAGACCTCCAGGAAATACATAAGCATTTGCCATAAATGAGCTCAAACCACTTCTTTTTACCATCAGTAGACGATAATCAGTTACATTCTGCTTGGTGGTATAGTTCCATTTAGTAGAACCCATTACATTGGCTAAGTTCTTTCCTTTAGCTATGACATCATGTAGAGATAAGCGAGATGCTATGATTAAACTTGATGCTTCTCTCCATGGCCTTTCCATTTTCGCTAAAAAGATACAAGATAAATATTAGTTTCAGAAATAAGAAAATGCATAAAACATATAAATAAGACCAATATTTGTAATACAATGAATACTAAGAATAATACTGCTGATAAAAATCCTAGGTACTTTTCCATTCAAGCCATCCCACATCATACTTTTTTGTCTTGGTGTTTTCCCTCATTGCCAGGGGCTGAAAGTTTGATAACTTTCTTCCCTGCCAAAGACTATCTTCATAACTATCACTAATGTAATCATATTTTTCATCCAATATCTTTTTCAATTCTTTTTTTTTAATGCAATAGATTCTACCAACTTAAAATTTATCTAGATATCAAGAAGTGGCTATTCTGTTTCTTCACTAATGTAATCATATTTTTCATGCAATATCTTTTTCACCAATATCTTTTCACGATATTTTTTATCCAATATCATCATCTATACTTAAAATTTATCTAGATATCAAGAAGTGGCTATTCTGTTTCTTCAAGAAAGAGATGCTGTTCACAGAGAAAGATTGTGTCCAAATAATTCTCTCATGAAATTAAAATGTAACTCAAAGCCAAAATAATTATGCAGACTTCACTCATGCTGAGAAATTTATGTCTGAATACAAATGTGATGTGTTGGACCATGCATTCCTTTCATTACTGGCATGTGATTCACATCCTTATGGAATGAGGGGTGAATATCTATCGAGTTTTGAGAATCAAAGCTTGATTCAAATGAATCAATATAATGGTTGACTGGAATAATAACATAACCAGAGGTATATATATGCCAACTGTTATCTCATTTTAATGTTAAAATCAATGCAAGGTACCAATATTGGGAGAATCAATGAAAACGTATTAAAAAAAAAAGAGAAAAAAATAATGTTGGTAATGCTATTCTCCCAATTTTTTTTTTTTTTTTTTGGTGTTGTGTGTGTGTGTGTGTGTGTGTGAAATTACAGAATGTTCCTTGTTGCCTTTCCGGATCCCTTTCATCTAGCAATGAGGCAAAAGTATGGGAAAAGAAATAAACCAAAATGTATGAATACGGTGTTGAAAATGTACAGTATGGCTTTAACAGAAAAGATCCAATTTTTATAATCATCACATTAACACTTATTACACATCATCACATTTTCATTTTTTTATCAGATTTAAATGCCTCAACTGCTCCCATTCTCAGCATGGTTTTGTTTATGAAATCCACCAAATTTAAAATCATTCTTCAAAACCCAGTAACTCAAATTATTTTTCAAGTGTCATGAATTCATCTTGTTTGAAAAATCCAAGTTATAGTTCTAATGCTTTTTCTAGATATTAATGCAGCACAGAAAATCTGATGTCATTTTTTTAATTACTGTAAACTGTAAGAAAGTAATTCAAGAATGTTATGAAATAAGTTCTATTACTTATGAAATAAGTTCTATTACTTATGAAAATTATTAGTAATTTTAGCTCACTGTATTTATTTGGTGAACTCTTTTAACTGATCTGAAAATTACTAATGAAAGGTTTTTACTTAATTTTTCTTTAAGACTTCTGTAATTTAGTAGAAAATGGTGAAATTTCAGTGAGTATAATTACACAATTTTTTTCCTTAAATTTCTTCTTATGCAATTTGACAATTTTGTAATCCAAAACCTTTATCCTTATTTTGATTTCACATGTAAGAAAACAAAGCCTTACAATGAAACACTGCTAGAAAAGAATACTTTCACAGAAAATTTCTGTGGAAAACTGGTTGACAGATTGACTATACATAGCTAGGTACAAACCTATTACACTGAAATATCAAGATATTTATAAGAAAATCAAGAGTCAGAGCAATCTCAGTGACTAAAATAATTTTAAAAAAATAAATAAAAATAAGCAATTGTTTAATTAATGAACTAGCTTTTAATAGTATTTAACAAATGATTGAATATTCTATCACTAAGTCTTAAATGCAAACAATATAAAAATATTTACCTTGGAATGGCAAATAATTGAATGGTAATTACTTACTTAATGACATTCTAAAGATTACATTAATGAACATATGGAGCAAATAATACTCTTAGTATAAGGATATATATGATCAAGTGCATGTTCCTAAATGGGAATATGCCAAAACATTATGCAGAACTTCCTCCTCCCCCTTATAATATAATAAGAGCGCTTTTTACTTTGCTAATTCTGAATAACTGAATTTGGCTGATAAATGACTAGCCTAATTCTGGAATAAGTGTTAGTTTTCAAAGTCAGAAAAATAAAACTACAGTACATATAGTATACTGAATCAGGCTTATTGAGAACATAAAAATGTCAGATTTTAATTTTGGAAGTGCCATATTTACTTGTATTTCTTTTAGTTTTTTTTTTTTTTTTTTTTTTTTTTTTTTTATGATTTAGAAACGTTTTATTTATGACAGCAACATACAGGATATGGATATATAGTAAAAAGAAAAAAAATTAAAGTAATAGCTAATTTCTTAGTAATATAAAATATATATAAGGAGTTCCAAAAGTCTGTGTCTTTTACAAAGTAAAGAAATAATATGAACATAACTACAGTCAAAAGTCTTTAATCCGGACTCGTCGGAACTTCGGTGATTCCGGATTATCGATTTTTCCGGATTATAGATCATCAGTTTAAATCTGGTAAGATGGCATGCAGAAATTATAAAATTAAAAATATAAAACAGTAATTTATAAAATAATGAGCAATTATGATCTAAAGGGTATCAAAATTTACAAAAAAAAAAGCTTAATATTTATTTGTTTACTTTATTAAACATTTCTTTCAACGCGCGCATGCGTAAAGCATACATTACGCATAGCCGAAATTAGAAAATTGCAACCAGAAAACTATTTAATTTGTATTCGTGATATTTGTAATGACCAGGAATTTGATTTAAATCATATCAAAGACGAAGTACATTGAGATGAAATACTACATTTAATAAGGAATTATAAGCCGAATAAAATAAAAACATCTGCCCTGAAGATAACGATAGTGTTGACATATCAACTTCCAGTTCATTGCGCGCCGCCACGTTCCTCCTTCCCCCCCCGCGCAGAGCAGCGTGAAATTGATAAACAGATTTCCGAACGGTTAAATAAACAAAGGATATGCCTTTATCCATTTTTTGGAGCAATTCCACTTTTTGTTTGATGGACATCGAAACATACATTCGTTTTCGTAGATCCTTTGGGAGCTCCAGCATCGGAAATTCTATTTGACATAATCGAAAGTTCAAGCTTACTTTTATAAAATTGCTCTTACAGTCTGTAAAAAATAATAAGCCGGATCCAATTCGAAGATTAAGGAACAACGCAATCATCAACATTAACTGAAATAGACAATTAGATAATTTGAGCTTATACCGTCCGTTATACATTAAAGCGCAGTGAAAACGTATTCTGCGCTTGTGCACACGCAAATGCGCAGTCGTAAAGGTCTTACGCGCACGCTTAAACGCCTATGCGCATGCATCAACGCGGCGCATGCGCAGAAAGTTTTTAGCTTTGAGGTCCGGATTATAGATCATTCCGGATTATGGGTGTCCGAATTAACGACTTTTGACTGTATTACATTTTCAGAAACCCTGCTTGTTGTCTATAATCCTAATAATAACCACTGCTAACCTAAACACAATTTTATAGCCTGTATATTCACCACTATGGAAAATCATTCACCACAGTTCTGAAAATCAATAGAGGTCAGTTTTGCCTGTTCTTCATACTCTGCTGAAATCACATCTTGATGACTCTTGGAATCTTTTTCATGCATGCTTGCTCTGATTTTTAGAAAAAAGGACAAAATCATATGGGAGAAGTTCAGGCGAGTGAGCTGCCATAAGATTGATTTTAGAAGCACAAATGCAGTTTATGGTTTAGGCTGACCAATAGGCTGTGGTATTGTGAAATTTTTAATACTGAATACACTAACATTTTGCAGAACCTGCATCAAAATCCTTCAATTATAAAGAGGAAAATGCACTAAGTTTTTTAACTCAATGTATGGTAACATTAGTACACCTGTAAGTAAGTATAGGGATAGTAAGTAAGTATATTAGTAATTATAGGGATGCATTTATAAAGATGGCACACCTCACCAGAAGTTTTGAAGGCTTCATTTGATAAGTTTACTTAAAACAAAATATGATTCTTTTTGGTATATAATGCCTATTGATATATTGCCAAAAATACCACCTGTAACTGATTCTTGCGAGTGTTTGCCAACCCTGTCCTTGTTCCCGAGCATTTTGAATGTGATTGACAAGTATTACCCACTGGAAATAAATATATATACATATACATATTTCATCAACAAAAGGAACTAATACATCATTCTGGTGTATAGGCAGCTATCAGAATGATCTGGAGGCTTCTTGGAATACGGGAGCCTTAACAACTTGATGTGCGTGACCCTAGAAGCTAACCTCTGCACAGCAACTCATGTTTGTTTGATAACTTTTTGAATTCTGTCTTCCTTTAGAAATGTATATTGAAATATAGACATATTATAATATTTTCTTCTTTCAATTTTTAAGAGATAAAATTAGTAAAAATGGCAGGAGTATGTGAGTAAATGCAGTATCGTAATGAAAATGATGATAATCTACATATGCCTTCTACTACATCAGCCCACCAGTAGCCAGATGCTGAATACTAATAATTCAACCTAAATTAAAATGTCAGCAAATACGATGGCTGCATGAGCATCTATATGATATTTTCTATAGGCAATGGGAATAAGAGATAATTTTCCTTAAAAAGTTCTTTTAAGCAGGTAATCTTTGTATGCTTTGCCAAATATACAATAAATAAGCAAAAAATACTACGTACATCAAACATCAATAACTTATCCGTTTAGGCAAAATAAGTACAAAACCGACTAAAATACTGAAATTAAACTGCACCTAAGATGCATTAAAAATTCTAAGGTATAAAATACAGTCAAAAGTCGTTAATTCGGACACCCATAATTCGGAATGATCTATAATCCGGACCTCAAAACTAAAAACTTT